GGCGAGTGGGGGCGGAGGGCGGGGTGGGCGTGCCATCATGGCTCTGATATTTCTATGTGCGTGCACACACACACACACACACACACACACACACACACACAAACACACACACACACACACCAGTAACTCTGCCCTCCCAGCCCCAGGAGCCCGACCCCGGCGCTGACGGACTCACCTACGCCGAGCTGGACGGCCAGGCGCTGCAGGCCAAGCAGGGGGGCCTGGCCCCTGCCCCCGAGCCCACCCAACCCAGCGCGTACGCCATGATGAACATGAGCCGGGGGCCCCGCAGTGAGATTCCCCCCACAGCCATGGGGCACCGGCCCCCAGGGGGTCACAGACTCACTCCCCTGCAGCCCCAACCCCAGCCCCAGAGAACTCTGCTTCCAGGGAAGATTTAGGGGGGGACATTGCCCTCCCTCCGCTGCATCCCCATCCCATCGAGCTGCTGTCCCCCTCCCCTGCCCAGACCCACATGTAGGGGCTGGAGGGGCTCAGCTCCGGGACGTGGAGGGGATGCGCGCAGGGGAGCTGGCGGGTTGTTTGTGTTATTTTGCATCCTGTTAATCTCCAGATTTGTAATAAACACAGAACCACAAACTGGCACCCCCCCCCGGCACCCCACAGCCCCCCGTCCCAATGCCAGGAGTGTGTGTAACACCTGGGGGAGATGGGATTGCTTGGGGGGGCACAAGGTCCCCCTTGCTCTAACCACTAGACTCCACTCCCCTCCCACAGTCGGGGTATATAACAGGGTAGGTGCTGGGCTTCAGGTTTATGGAAAGTTTCACTGGCAGTAGCAGAAACAGGAAGCGAGCGCTGGCTCTGGGAAGACTTCCCCTTTAGCGGTTTTATTGGCTTCTCCTTTAACCACTAAGGATTTAAATTTACCGCTATGTCCGCCCCCCCTCACAGGGGCCGGAAACCACAACCTCTCCCAGCCCCCTGAACCGTCTCTGTCCCGCGCCACTTGGCTAAGAATAGATCTTGCAGCGGATGTTACCTGAGAAGGAGATTGGCCAGGCCCCTCCATGCTGGGATGTATGCCAAGAAAAGGGGCCAGGGTTGGGACGAGTTATTGCCCTTCCTGCTGAATGCTGACAGGGAGGTACCCCATGGGATTTTCCCCATTTAACCTTCTGTATGGGAGGAAAGTGAGGGGCCCTCTCAATCTCATCTGGGATTCCCGGGAAGGATGCAACAAGGTGAGCGAAGAACCCATGACTGGATATGTCCAGAGGTTCAGGAGGGAGTTGAAGGACATGATGGAAATTGTCCAAAACAATCTCTGGAGCAGGCAGGCCAAGCGAAAGGCGTGGGATGATCAACATCCTTGTAAATGCACGTTTGACATAGGAGATTTGGTCATGGTACTCAGCCTTGCAGAAAAGTTCAAAATGCAAAACTCCTGGGGGGGGGCCCTTTGAAGTGGCGGAAATGATGAATGAGGGGGTGTCAAGGCTGGATCCCCACTTTGAACTTTAGGGTACAAATGTAGGGGCCTGCATGAAAACTTCTAAGCTTAACTACCAGCTTAGCTCTGGTCCGCTGCCACCATCCCAAGGCTAATTTCCTTCCCTGGATAGCCTTGAGAGTCCTTCACCAATTCCCTGGTGAATACAGATCCAAACCCCTTGGATCTTAAAACAAGGAAAAATCAATCAGGCCCCCTCCTACCGCCCACCAACTCCTGATGAACTCATTTCCAAGCCCCTTGGATCTAAAACGTCAATAAACTA